CGGAGCGTATAACGGCCGAAACGTTGTGACAAATATGGCGACAAAGATGAGGACAATAGTCCGACTAATGTAAATATATACATAATATCATCTCATATATATATATATATATATATATATATATATATATGTATATTATATTGTTTTAGTTTACTAAATTACTACTTAATTTATGTTTATTTTATTTATTAATTTTTTATTTATTTATCTCATTTATTTTATTTTGTATTTCCTTTATATTTATTTTATTCTAATTATTGTTTAGATGAAAAAGATTTTGTTTATATGCCTGTATATACTGATTATTTTAGTTTTCTTGTTTAGGATTTTATTTTGGTTTGTAAAACTAATTATTAGTAGTTATTTATATTTAAATAAAGAACAAATTCGAAGATGTTTTTAAATCTGACATATTTCGCATTAGTTAGAGGAACTGTAATTAAAGTGAATCATCATAGTTACGAACATTTTTTTCTTATTTAATCATTTTGATAGATGTAAACCATATTTTTTCAATTAATATATATATATATATATATATATATATATATATATATATATATATATATATATATACAAACGTTATATCAATTATAATAGTCAACCCTTTTGATCAGTCAATGTTTGTTTTACAAACATTATACCTATAATTTAAATGGATCTCCTCTCAATTCGATCTCAATTAAAATGATTTCGTTTTGAAAAGACGAATCAAAACCTTTCTCTCTTATTAATTATAACCTTAACATTCTTTATAATGACAAGCAATATTCAAAAGTATTTTAGAAAGAAACAAAAATTGTTGGAAAGAACTTCGGACTGTTTCGTCGTAAGTTTGATTTGTACATGCGACAGCTTATACGCAAACTTGAAAAATATAATAAAAATTGCTTACGGTCATGATAACAAGTCCTGAAGCCCATTAGAAATATACAAAGACCAGATGTATTGCAACCGTAGAAGCACATGTGTCTAGAGCAAGACAGCCTAATGAAGCCCATCCCTATTCAGGCAAATGTTTCTTTTATTCTCGATTTTTTGGTGGGGAAATATTATCCCAAGTACTTTCGAAGAATTCCATAGCAATTTCCAATGAGTTTGCACACACACATACACACACACGCGCCCGCGCAATATATATATATATATATATATATATATATATATATATATATATATGTGTGTGTGTGTGTGTGTGTGTGTGTGTGTGTGTGTGTGTAATCAAAGGAGTCTGACTGTCGGTTTCTAGAACTGAGTTGCTTGACCCTCATATGTCAAAATTGGCGAGAGACTCCATATATATATATATATATATATATATATATATATATATATATATATATATATATATAAAAACGATTATTTTCATACACATATAGCACAATGATTGTCGGACAGTGAAACTAACAATGTTGACTTTTCTACGAAGCAAAACTTATTTCCCGCAGCCAACCTCGCTTTACAATTTTCAATGTGTTTACTAACTGAGCTGCGTCAACTACTTGAGCGGGAAACGTTCTCAAGTTGCAGCTCGGACAACCAGATGTGACTATTGAGACAATCAGTTATTCAACGAATGTCTTAGACCGAATGGAAAGGCCAATCAGCCGGAGTCTCTATTAACTCTGAATACAGTTGACTTCGTCGTTGAGAAAAGAAGTTTTGAACATCGGCTCGATCTGTGCAAAGGAAGAATTAACAATCTCTCTCTTTCGTCAGATGTTTCTTCAGCTCCTTCCGAGAAAGTTTTGCGATGAGATGGGGCTAGAATTATTATTATTATTATTATTATTATTTTGTATCTCCATTACGGGAGAGCAGCTGTATGCGTTTGATTCATTAAGTTTCTTGCAATGAAAGAACAACGCTTCGCCTCATTGAATCAAATCATCGAAGACTTCAAGAAAAGGGATGTGTCGGGTAGGTGGTTTTTAGGTTGGGGCCCCCAGAATAAGAATGGAATGACGCGAAGAAGCAGCAGCAGCAGCAGCAGAAGAAGAAGAAGAAGAAGTAGAAGAAGAAGAAGAAGAAGAAGAAGAAGAAGAAGCGATGGAGTCTTGGAATGTGTTATTTCTAGTGAAGTATCCGTTGGCGGTGGCCGGGTAGACAGGGAAATAACGAACAACGCTGTTTACACTGTTTCCTTTTTTGATTCATGAAACAAAATCAGCGAACGAATTTATAGACGGAGCAATCAAGAGGTGTTGTCCGGTGCGAGCATCGTTTGCTTTATGATCCGATGAATAGGAAAAGTGACAAGATAGTTTGCAAATAATTGGAAAAGCAATAAAAAAAAGGATTCTTTAGGAAATTGTGGAAGACTACAACAAATTGATCCGCAGAACGCAATTAGAAACAAGAAAACCAAAAAGGAAAAAACGGAGGAAGATCATGTTGCAGCAATCTTCGTTGGGGCGTTGATTTGATTTTCAATTAAAATATATCCATACATAATATTTACTAAGACTAAATCATTTTAGTCGCTGATTCTCTAAAAGAGGTTGATTCGATTTTTTTTTTTAAGTTTTGTTTTAATTTTTTCACGCCAAACATAGCGGACATACCTCTAGCACGCAGGGGGTTATAAGGGATTGGAAGTGAGAAAAAATTGCTATAGGGAAAATTGAGGAAAGGACGAAGATGAATGGGATTCAAGAAGATAGATGATGACGATTGGCGTTGCATTTATATTTTTGAACATTATAGTTATCAGGGAAACATGTAAACAGAAGGGAGTTCCACAAGAGGGAAGTGCGAGAAAAAGAGCTGTTGGAGTATAAGTGGCGGTCGCATTTAATTATTTCAACATTAAAAGGGTGGGTACTAAGTACCAATCTAGTAGCACGCTTAATTTCATGTAGTAAGATGAGTGGGGGAAAAAAAGCTCATCAAGGCAGCTGCTAAGAAAATATTTGTAGAAAAGACAAGGTGAGAAAGTGACTGAAGTCGAGATTCCAAGTCAGGATTGATTACATTACAGATCCTTCTATCGACTTTGTCGAAAACCTCGAGATGTACAGCAGGACCATCAGACCAGTCATGTCAGCAGTATTCAATGCATGGACGAATGGTAGATTTGTAAATGTACAAGATGGACTCTGGCAAGAAACATTTTCTGGCGCAACACACTGACCCAACTTTACTTGCAGTAGATGCAGCAATTGATTCAATGTAGTCGCCTCACTTCAAGTCACTTGAAAACGTGAGACCAAGAAATCGCAGTGTGCTGCTTTCCAGGAGTCTAGCATCAGGCAGCAAAGTTTCTCTATGGTGGTTAAATAAGAACAGTTTTGTTTTGCAGGCGTTAAAATTTACAAGCCATTTCCTGCCACAGATCAACTCTTTTGAATTCGTCGATAAGAAAAGAAATTCTGAACATCAGATCGAAGAATTAAGAGATTAATCATATCTCTTGTGAGGTTATTTAAATCCGAAAGATATTTTTAATAATAAGAATAATTATTTTTCTTTTTTGCGACTGAATATACGCAGTTATCTATTTCTAAGAGTTCACAATGGTTTTTTTTCCCAGATAGATGTTCTACTATTTAACCCGTAGCTGGAAGGTGGAGCTGAGTTTATTCTTTTCCAAACTGTATTTACGCGTAAGAGAATGTAATGAACTCGAGCGGAATTCGAACTCGACTTTCCGATTTCTCATTCCGAGTTGCTATTGATTATACCACCGGCACATCCGGTCTACCTAAGAGAAATAATAAAAGTGAAGATTATGTGAATTATTCCGATTGAGTGAATTCTACCTTCAAAATCACGATTCAAAATCCTTTATGCATATTAGGTGGAATCAAACGTTTTGTCGCATTTCAAGTTTTCATTAACAGTTCCAACAGGTTACATAGGAAAAGCGTTTATTTATCAAAATATAGCCCATCATATTTTATTGCCTGATGCCATCATTGTGCCAGGAGTTCGAATTCAACGCCTATACAATTTGGCTGTTTTAGAGGCAAAAAATTCTTTGCACCCGTTTTCAATCACATAGATGTTGTTGAATATCCGTCCGCGCAGGAAAAATAGCTCGAAAAAAATGGTAATCTGATAGTGCAAGGTCTGGATTGGAGGCAAGTTGAGGCATCAATTGTAACCTCCTCAAGTTCCTCAAGTTTTCGCTTGATCACATTGGCAGCGTCTGCCGGAGGACATTATCACGCTGTACGAGTGTGCGTCTTTGGTTGACCAATACCAGTTAGCGGGCTTTCAAAGTATTGTAGACTAATTGCAATATAAATACCCATGACCATCTGAGACAAAGTCAAAGTACAAACACCTCAAAATTCCTCCAAACACAAAACACGACTTTCTGTTGAATCCGCGCCCGTGTTGGACAACAGTTTCTGAAGCCAGAACGGAACGAAGACACTGAGATCTTTCAATATCTATCTATATTTCTGAGATGAGGTATTATGTACATTATTTACATTATTCTGACTATTGTCTTCATCTTTGTCGCCATATTTATTACAACGTTTCGGCTGTTGTACGCTCCGGCCTTCTTCAGGTGGTTGTCCTCAATGACACATGGCACAGTGGATAAAGGCGTTGGTTAGATCCAGTGAGAGGACCCAAGGAGTATTAGTTCAATATCCGGTTAAGGCAGTGGAGAACTTTCAGAGGGAAAATTAGCAAGAGATAACTGATAACTGACATCTATTAAACATGGCACATGGAACTAGAACAGTCTACCCCAGTGAGGGAAATAAAGAGTTCAGTTCGACATTCCAACCACCTGAAGAAGGCCGGAGCGTACAACAACCGAAACGTTGTAATAAATATGGCGACGAAGATGAGGACAATAGTGTGAATAATGTAAATAATGTACTGAGATATTTAATTAGGATTACGAATATAGATACATTTTCGTTTCCGGTTACAATTTGAGGGCTAAAACCCGGTATCTGGAGGATTTTTCAGCTGTTGCCGGCAAATTTTCACACGTCGTTGAGCCTGGTTCATGGGGAAATTCTCAACGGAGTCTCTTCACAAAGCCTAGATTAATGGAGGTGTCGATTGATAGTGTTTTATGAAGGACCATGTTCCGCCAATAATGTACGTGTGCTTGTGTTTAGCTTCTGTTCAACTATTTTAAACAAATCCTCATCATCCACAGCTAAATGTCCCCCTGGCTTTGGCTTCTTTTCGACTCTGGTGTCACCTTCTTTGAAATGCCTGAACCAGTTTTCTGCTACACTTGCGTTAACAGTTCCTTAGCCTTCCACATAAAATGTCTTTTGTCGCTGCCCTTTCCGTGGTTCGTTTTTTTCCACAGCTAGCTTAAAATGGCTCTGATTGCAATTCTTTCATCACTCATTACCAAAACTGTAAAATAAAGGATAAGAAATGAATGTTTATATGTTATATATGAAAATAAATAGTAAACAATTCAGCAACGATTTGTCAACAAGTATTATCAGTGAAAATCTGAAGAAATTTTGACTAAACATAGTGTTAAACCAGACAGGGCTTATTAACTTTGGCAAGGCAAATTTAAATTAACAACTAAACTGAACAGGGATGGGTTGCGTCAGGTTATCATACCATTTCAAGTAAGGCTTCATCTTCCTCAACAGAAGGTCTTCCTGATATAGGTTTGACTTCCAGGCTGGTATCAACTTCCTTGAAATATCGGAACCAGTTTTATGCCACGAGTTTTTTGACAGTTCCTGGGCCATCCACACCATTTTCCACTGGTAATGGTAATGGCTCTGATTGCAATTTTCCGACACTCATTATCAATACTGTAAAAAAATGATATTCTTATTATATTATGTTATAGATAAAAATAAGGAATACAAAATTTAGCAATAATTGGACAAGTTGTATCAAATTATTTATATAACATGAAGATACAAGTTACCAAAATCATCAGTGGAAATAAAAAAAAAACACCTTTGACTCAGACTGGTAAATGTGTGCATGCATGCGATGATGGTGACACTTTATTGCGATGCCCGCATACTAACAGCCTTTCATTTATAAGTAATTATTCGCACGATGCAGACATGCACTTCAAATCGTTTTCGTAGTTTTTTGTAACCTTCTCCCTCAATAAATGCTCCAACCATTTTTTGAAGATTCAGGAAGTTCTTTTGATCTTGAATTATTTTTTAATGTCTCTCTAACTGCACCCATTTGCACCCACAATGAGTAATATTGGTTGACTGCAGTATACACAGCTTACAAAAAAAATGAACACGTGTCATTTTGATTTTTACACGTGTACAAAAAATTATTTGCACTGCCAACCATGTAAAATAACAATAAAGAGTGTAAAAGAAAAGGTTCACATACATTTGCAAATCATCATTTTTAATTAATATTTTTATTCCAGATTAATAATTTAAAAAAAAAAGTTATTGTAATTCGTTTAATAAAGATTCCTTTTAATGAATTCATAGTTTAAGATTTGTTGATTATCTGGAAAAAAGAAACAATTTTTTAATATTATATGAGACGTTCACATACGTTTGTGCAGCACTATATATATATATATATATATATATATATATATATGAAATTTAGAAGTAGCAGCAGAGAAGCCAACAGCCATGAAGAGTGAAGGCATTAATACAATGCACTCACGAAACTTCGAAGTCGATATGACTGAAATAACATCACTCAGTGAAGTAATAAGTTTCTCCACATAAATTCTATTAACCCTTTATCCTTACCTTATGACATCGAGCAATTCATAAGAAAAACCTGATTGCCTAAAATGCCTTTTCACCAGTAAACTACCAGAAATTTTGGCACCTAAAAACTCTTACAATATAATATAATATATATTAATCTGTTTAATTTTTATTGTATTGTTCTGTTTTTCCAATAAGGTGCAGTCAAAATCATGCATGACATGACGGAAGTTATTTTTTGTGGTGTTGTTTGGTCAAGTGCAACGACGCGACATGAAATTTGAACAGATTATCCACTATTTCAATCCCACCCTATTCGAAATCTCTTTCTAAAAATAAAAGTATTACAAAATAATTAAAAAAAAAGAAAAACCTTTTGTTAGATAAAAATGACCTTTCATGTGTTTTATTTGCCCATGTGCATTTCAGATATACTTTTCTTTCAATACTAATCTCTCAGGAATTATTGATTCCCTTCTGTGGATAACTTTTTCTTCCTGTATCCAAAACGCGACCACAGACACACGCTATGTCTTTATTTCGTTATATATTTTCTTCTGTCATTTCCTGTCTCAAAAATCACACACACACACACACACACACACACACACACACACACACACACACACACACCATCATCTCCCTGACGGTTTCTATTCAGAAGTAAACCATAACAAAAGACAACTGAATCTTGCTTAAACTATACACAAGCTTCTTCAGTGATGTACTCAGTCATTTAGAGAATCAGACGCCATTAGTAAAAAGTACACATCTGCGATTAATAAAGCCATGAGCTGGTAATTAGATTCTTTGCTTTATTTGAGAGTAAAAACGGTCTTTTTTTTACTTTCTGGTGGTTTAAGGGTAAGATGGAGAATGCTGCTGATATTATTATTATTATTATTATTATTATTATTATTATTATTATTTTTGAAGCCTGGACTAAGGACATTATATCATTTCGAGGAAGTATCACCTGCAACATTTCTGTACACCATACTTGCTATAGTGGCAATATTCTTTCTTTATTTCAATTATGTAAAATGAGAAAAGGGTGAATCTAATTATGTTGAAATAATACGATTACCAGAAACAGAAACAATACTGATAATTAATAATAATAATAATAATAATAATAATAATAAGGAATTTGAACGAAAAGAGTCATCTTTATCGGTGTTTTTCGAACAGTCTCAAAAAACTTGTAAAAAAAAAACCAAACAAGAAATCTGAGAAAGAAACAAACCATTCAGACAGCAGTCGTAAAAACAACTTAAGCTTGTATTCGGATAAATATTCTGGATCTTCGAAGATTTTCTGTCTATTGATCTACAGCAAAACTGAAAGAGAAATAAAAAGTTAACAAATGAACGAGGAAAAATGAAAGAGAAAGAAATATTGAAAGATAATATATAAATTCGCAAAGAAATAAAAAAAATAGCAAATGGAAAGGGAAAAAAGGATTATTTCAAAACAGCAGAAAAAGAGAAAGGGAATAGCAAAAATTAAAAGAGGGTGAAAAGATTTTAAAATCACAAATTAAAAGGGAAATAAAAATTGCAAGATACGGAAATTATTGAAAGAAAAATATAAAATCTGAAAGAAAAATAAATATATTAAAAGAGTAAAAAAAAACTGAAAAAAGATTGAAAAAAAGAAAACTTGTAAGAGAAAGAATAATGTGAAAGAAAAAATGAAACGTAAAAGGGAAAGAAAAAAATGAAAGAAATTTGAAAAAGAAGAAATTCTGAACACATCAATAGAGAAATAAAAAGAATTGAAAGAGAATGATAAAAAAATTAAAAGAGAAAGGAATGTAAAAAAAAAAAATAAACAAAAATTAGCGGAACGTAGCAGGAATTTGAAAAAAAATTGTCAAAATAATGGAACGCTTGAAACTGTCGCGAGAAGCGTTACTAAAACGACTTGAACAAATTAAAATTTGAGGAGAAATTGATGGTAGAGAATGTAATGGCTTCTCTGGTTGTTCACCGTTAAATATTGCCAACTTATTTAAAACTTTGTAAATGGCTCCAATGGCATATAAATATTTTTATCATCGGGACATTTAATGTTAAAGAAAATCAGGAATTAAAGTCTCGGTATAGTTAATAGTTATAACACGCATATACGGTATCTCCAAGAAACCAAAACCAAAGAACTTGTTATTAATTTAGGAGTTAGACAGCACAAGTTAAGAGTTTTGGAAACAGGTACTATATTTTATCGAAATTGTTTTGTCATCAATTCCAAATGAAAGAATAACATCTATTGACACTGAACGGGCAAACAGTCAAAGTATATACATAGAACAACGATATAAAAAACTATCAATAAACCCCCATCATGCCGCTTAAAAGACCTTTTATGAGCTAGTATAAGATGGAGGTTTTAGAAATCACTGATTTGAGGTATTTGTAATAGAATGTAATAGAATGTAATAGAATATTTGTTTAGAATTTGCACTGATTTGTAATCAGTGCAAATTTTAATCTTCAGCAATTTTACAAATACCTCAATATAGTGATGTACCTTTAAATTAAAACAGCTGCCCAATTCTCTCTTTCCCGCTTCTACAATGTGCAAATGCATTTATGCAGCCTTAGGGGTGATAAACGACTTTTCACCCTACGGTCGTTTTCCCATAGACGCAATGTGACAAGCATCTCTCTGTTCTCGTACTATTTCTATGGAAAAGGTTCTGAGGCGTTACATTACATAGTTCTATCAGTTAAGACATTTCCAGCTAATTACCGCCATGCCATATACACTGAGGTGATCCGCCATCATTTCTTTCGTATACTTTTGACGAGAATATGGTTTCATTTGAACAAATTATTCCCCAAAACCGCTGCTCAATATAAAAGACTCACGAGGGTGTACTTCTCCGACCACTACAATATTAACCTCTTCAAGTCCAGTGTCAGCCATTATCAGATTCTTCCCTAAAACCGCTGTTTTATGGAACATACTCCCGAGAATGTGCTTCTGCAACCACTAAAATATTAACCTCTTCAAGTCCAGGGTCAACCATTACCAATCTCACATATCCGCATAATCTACAATTCTGACGTTCATAAAACAACCCCACTCAGTATCCGTCTATCTTGAGTGGCTCTTGGGTCTTGTCTTGGGTGAATAGCGTAAATTTTAAAAAAAAGATTAACTACACGGTTAGCACTAGCAATTTTTAATGGCTAGTGTTTGGGGAAAGTCGTTAGATATGCGAAGATATATTTACAAATACGAACCTGAAATAAGAAAACGATTAGAAATATCGATAAAATAATATTGAATGTTCTTGTATTATTTCAAACTATTTTTCTCATCTTGGTTGATATAGATTTGATTAAAAACACTACTTTTCGGCCAAACACGCTCTGGTCATCATCAAGTTTCCAGTGATTGGCTGATATGGAATATTGTTGGTTATTGTGACATTTTGTCGTTGTGATATCAGTTAGTTTTCGATCCTGCTGAATGGGTGCGTCACTATCAGATCCAAGGATTGAACTCATGACCACTATATGACAGTAACACATGTATAACCAACTCCTATATCCACTATGCTACCGTTTCGAAAAGGTTACTTGGACAAAATCTTGTGTCTATAACAATATCTATATCAACTAAGATTAGAATAATAGTCCAAAATAATATAAGAATATTGACAATTACTCATCTCATAAAGAATACACCAAATATACATATATATATATATATATATATATATATATATATATACAAATGAGAAAATATCAGGTAAATCTTAAAATCAGTTATTGGCTGAAAATATGAAATAAACCGAGACCTGATTGCCAAAGTCGGCAGAGTTTAAATACAGTATATTATAATAATATTAACATAATAATATTAACATAATATTAAAATGGTAATCAAAATCCAGCTAAAAAAAGTAGAAAATCAGGACTAATCCTAGGACTGTAGCCCCAAATATTCAGTTATGTGCCACAGTAGATTGCCATTTCATTCTGCGGTAGGCAAGTTGCCGTCCAAGTCTATAGGACCTGTCTGTACTGCTATTTACCCATAGCTGGACGGAGAAGAAAAGGCTTCTCACCTCTCCCTAGGGTATTAGCATGTAATGGATTCGACTGAAATTCGAACTCGGCTCTCCGATACTTCACTCCGAACCGCTATCCATTACTCCACCGTAAAGAGAAATACATTGCGAATTCACTATCCACATTACATCCTCAACGCATACATAAGCATACAAAGTTCATAAGTTCAAAAAAATAGGCACCACCGCCGGATACATAGATACTTACGAAAAAAAATGCATAAACTTAACTTCCAACATCCTATCGTCAAAATTTGAAATTAAATTAATTATCCGCAACCCTGGCATCCTCCAACCTCCATCGGATATATGATTAGTAAGGAAAATAGATCGGATACTGGGATTTATTAAACAAAACGCCTACAATGTAGGAAAAGTTACACTGGCGAAACATCTAGGAATCTAAAAGTCAGCATCTAGCAACATAAAGGTAACTTATGTTGAGACAACCTATTAAAATAGCTAGTAATACCCAGAAACAAGACAGCCTTAACCAAAAATGCCACTCTAATTAGAAAAGAAGATAATTCCTTACGCAGGAAATTCTTCGAGGCAGTTCTAATAAATATTTTACCATCCATAAGCACACTTCAAACACACTTTACTATATCACCAACTTTTATAAAATCCATAGTTAAAGAGTCTAAGATATGTCTAACTGTTACCACAACCGGTGTAACTTAAATTCTTTAACCCTCACACAAAACGTCCACAAATCAACAAGCGGACAACCTCCAAAGAGGGATAAAAATGCCTACTAGACGCACCCCCCTCCCCACATACACAAGCAAATATACATTAAAATTCGACTAGATACATTAGAATTATGACACACATAAATTATACTCAGGACCTTTGTTTGTACTTGAAGTTAACCAACGGAAAATAAACAACATAAAATTGAAAATACCAGAATTTTCTTTTGTTCCTCCATACTTCCTTTTCTGATGAAGCTTTCATAAAAGCGAAACATGTTAGATTTATAAACGTTTCCTATTTTTTCATTATCCTATCATATATAAATATATATGTTTTCATTATCCTATCATATATAAATACATATGTGTGTGTGCGTATGTGTGTATGTGTGCGTGTGCGTGCGTAACTTTCTTACATCTATTCTCCTGTGTCCTCTGTTTTTGTCATTTCCTTACACTTACATTTGACTCCTTTTTTTCAGTTTCCATTTATTAGGGATACGCTTTCATATAGAAAGGAACCATCTTCTTTTTCTCCCTTCCTCCTACTCCTACTTTTCCCATGCTCCTCCTCCTCTTTCTCCTTTTTCTCCCTTTTCTTCTTCCATTTCTCCCCCACTTCCTCCTCCTCCTTCCCTCCTACTCCTAATCCTCCTCTTTTTCATCTTCTCCTCCTTTTTCTTCTTCTTCGCCCCTTCCCCTTCCCATGCTCCTCCTGCTCTTTCTTCTTTTTCTCCCTTTTCTTCTTCTTCTTCCATTCCTCCCCCACTTCCTTCTCCTCCCCTCCTACTCCTAATCCTCCTCTTTTTCATCTTCTCCTTCTTTTTTCTTCTTCTTCGCCCCTCCCCCTTACCATGCTCCTCCTCCTCTTTCTCCTTTTTCTCCCTTTTCTTCTTCTTCTTCCAATCCTCCTCCACTTCCTCCTCCTTCCCTCCTACTCTTAATCCTCCTCTTTTTCATCTTCACCTCCTTTTTCTTCTTCTTCGCCCCTCCCCCTTACCATGGTCCTCCTCCTCTTTCTCCTTTTTCTCCCTTTTCTTCTTCTTCTTCCAATCCTCCTCCACTTCC